TTTTTTTGGAAACCACGGTACGCTTATTCCAATTTGTCTAACAGAGCAGTAACCTGTTCGGCTGTGAACCAGCAAGACGTTGAACTAATAAAAGCTTCACATATTGTGGCACTCAGATATATGTGTATCGGCAAGCTATCCGTGACACTGTCAAACAAAGAATCAGAATATATGTGCATGCCTTAAAATGTATTGCTTCGTTCACATATCTCGTGGCTGTGACTCGTCAACCGAGTGAACAAGTGCACCCTAGTTTCCTAAATTGAAAGCACTTTTTGAAGGTAGCATGGCCTACATTTATTTGTCTATTGTTTTGTACAGCCATTTGCATCAGGTACAAGGAAAAAATGGCAGCATATCCACGGAGTGAATGATGGAGAGTGGGGCGAAGCATTCGTCCGTCCATGCGTCTGTTTGTGCGCCCGTCCCTGCGTTCTTTCATGCATCCGCCCCTGCATCCGTTCATGCGTCCATCCATGCATCTGTTTGTGTGTCCGTTCGTTCATCTATTCAACACTCCAAGTCCCACCATCTCGCATCTTTTTATCATATATTCCCCATATAGAAGCACCGCCATCCAGCGGACATTCCAAGGACTAAACGAGAGGTGGCACACGCACACTTTCTTACGGCCTGCGCTTTGGGTCCACTTCCCACCTTTAACCACCTCGAGTTCATGGTATATTCTAGTTCACTGTATTCATGGCACTGCGACCAAACGCTCGCTAAACCTTTCGAAAACCAAGGACATTACGCCCAGCGAGTACAACGTAGCAACCTTTCCCTGTCAGATAGGGCTCAATTTACATGCCAATGGCTGCTAATGAGAAATGAGACAGGAGAATTCGGCTTTTACTTTCTTACGGCTTGCGCTTCGTATCTACTTCTCATTTTTAACCACCTTGAGTTCATTCATGGTATACACAAGTTCATTGTATTCATGGCACTGCGGCTCAACGCTCGCTAAACCTTTCTAAAGCTAAGGAGGTTACACCCAGCGAGTATAATGTAGCATCCCTTTCTTGTCCGATAGTGCTCAATGTACATGCCAATGGCTGCTAATGGGGATCGCAGCGTGCGCGCTGACTAAAAGCCGAATGCTCATGTCTCTCATTCCCCATTAGCAGCCATTGGCATGTACATTGAGCACTATTTTTTATTGTTAAACAACGCACAGAAGAAATCTCTCACTGGCACCACCTTGGAGGTCAAGTGTTATACCTATTTTGGGTATGTGCCATTGGTGGTTACATACGAGGGACGCCCAAGCCACGCCATAAGGAGCTTCGCCCCTAACATACTGAAGATTATCATGTAGCCACTGCAAATGGTTGCTTTCAAGCAGGCTTTGCATGCTTGACTTGTGCCTACTGGTATTGCACAATTCAAGAAGCAGCAGCGTATGATATAACAGTAGAATCGAGAGCAACTATGTGCACGAGCTAAATATGTGTTTTAACATGAGCGGATGGTGCGTGTTATTTGCCACACACATGATCTTGCTTAGAATGCCCATTGGTGAATGGGCCCATAGAAATGTCACTCAGCTGTGTATAGGATACAAGTTAACTGAACCTAAGGGTATCTTTAACAGCTACAAATATGTCTTCTTGAGGTGCTGCACATTTTCTTCCAGAATATTGCTATCCGAGACATCATGTGAAGAGCGTCTACCACATCAGCATTTATATGGCTTGCCAAGTAACGTTTGCCCGAACCTACCATTTTTTTTCCACATTTCATTTTGCAGTAGACATCCTAGAATGTAAGTGCTGTTGCAGTGTGTTTGACTCATTGTTATGTATTGATTCTGGCATGTTAAACCTCACACTTCTATTTTTTTTCTTGCAGCGATGAGATGCTTCACATATGCTTGCGGTGACATTCCGCCGCGCTAGCCTGATGGAAACACCAGCTGCGAAACTCGAGTCCTTCAGAATTGGAGAAGTTGCCCTTCTCTCACCAATGATGACACAGACTGCCCTATATGCTAGAAATTCAAGATTGTTTTTCCATGGAAGACGCTGAAAACATTTGATGTATTATGGCGCTTGTTTAGTACTGGCTGTGGTGTGGCGAAGTCTACTTCTACGTGTGCTCACACGTCGCCTCAAAAAAATAAAAATAAAATCAATAAAAGCATTTCTTTTCCTTTCAATATTGCCCACTTTTTGTGTTAGAAGCACCCAAGCAGTGCTCTTTCCAAGGAGCTCTCGCCATTTGTTAAGCGTGTGACAAGCATACTCAAGATAGTCATTTCCACAAGGAGTAACTGGAAGCATGTGCAGTTGGTCCTCAGAGAGTAACTGCGAACACGCGGGCAGGAACGGTAAAAACTAACCGTTGGTCTTAGGGAAGCAACTGGTGGGAGTAATGATTGGTCTGCAGGGAGCAACTGGTGGGAGTAACTGTTGGTCCACAGGGAGCAACTGGAGGGAGTAACTGTTCATCCTCCAAAGGAGGAACTGAAAGGAGAGCAATGGTTCGTCCCTCTGCAGTTACTCCTTTTAGGGAAGTAATGGGAGTGGCAATGCAATTGCTTCCTGAAAGGAGCAACCCCTATACCCTCGTTGCTCCCTTTTGGCTTATGTTGAATTCCAATGGCGGAGTTGGAGCAAGTTTTTCTGCTCTTTTCAAAGCAAGTGTGTTCCAATGACAGAGTGAGAGCGAGAGTCAAAAGTTCCAATGAGAGAGTCGGAGGGGATTCAGAGCGGGAGTCCCTCCGTGGAGCAGGAAAAACTGTTGATAATGGCGGACGGCATGGACGGCTCGGCTACCTCGGCAAAGCCTGCGGCAATGCTTCTGCTACTCAATAGCGACAGCTCTGAGTCGGAAAGCTCAAGTACCGACACGAGTGATTCGTTGGACAGTGACAGCGACGCTAAAGCTTGCGCTTACGAGCGGGAATTCAACAAGTTGTTCCGCATTCCCGTGAAGAGGCCCAAGTCGTCGGTTTCATCGAGGACATCTTTCGGCAGTACTCGGACCACGAGGTAAAGAAATAGAAAAAAAGAAGGAAAGCATTATGCTCAAGGTTTAACACGTTGTGGTGTTTTCGTTTGTTTCTTTTCTTGAGCAGTTCCGGAGGCACTTTAGGCTGGCTCGACCTGTGGCCGAAAAGTTGGTCGCGGAGTTTGCTGTCTCGTCAATGTGCCCTTCGAGCACACACGGAGGAGTTCAAGCGAAATCCGCGGAAACGCATGTCTTGACATTTATCTGGTTAGTTACACCTCCCCACCTTCACCCCTCTTTTTTTCTTTGTACGAATGCCTGCACAAGAACGCATTTGACTATGAGCCCGTTGCTTACAGTGCAGTGTAATCTGAAGCTGTTTTTTTTTTCTTTCGGGTACCTGTAATCCCCCTGCTCAGGTACGCGGCCAACAAAACCTGCATGCGAGACGTGGCAAGCCGTTTCGACATGTAAGAAAGGACCGTGTACAGAGTTCTTCAGAGAGTAGCGCAGTTCCTGATGACGCTGGGACCATCGGTGATCAAGTTTCCCGCAGACTTGGAGAACCTCACTAGCAGTTCTGAGAAGGTTTGTTTCGATTTTATTTATCGTGAGGACCAATAATATTGGCCTGGCCAAGCTATATTGATCATATCACAAACACGAGTGCACATTTTATTGTGGGTTATTTCAAGCTCAATTTTATGCTGAGGTGGGACTTTAAGAAAAATGTGATAGGTCGTGACGATAATACGGAGCTTCATCCAGTTGTGTTCGAAACATTCAACTTATGTCTCTCCTGCAGTCACAGTCGATTCCTTGCATGCGGATGATGCTGCATGCTTTGTCATTTCTGTTCAGATGTACGATACAATATGGACGAGGTTTGGTTTTAAATTTAAGAATTAAATTGCAATTACGTACTTCAACTCCCTTTAGGAAAAAACATACGCAGGCTTTGTTTTGTTTTCTCTCCCATTTTACCATTGTAAAAAGAGAGGTGGATAGCAAGAAAACGTGTAGTATATGGTGTGGACAGCAATGTATGTTATCTTAACTAGTTCTCAAAGTTGAATTTGGTTTGCATTTTGCATCTTTAACATAAAATATATTGTGCTGAGTCATGAAGCGTATGCTGTGATTGTGAGTTAATGGGCTTGAGCACCAGTATTTCCTGTTAAAACTCCTCGCAAATGCTCATTTCTTGCTCAGGCATGGATGATATCACTCATTAGAAGAGTACAACTTGCTTGCAGGTGTCTGGAATGCCTGCTGTTATTGGCTGTATAGATGGATCGTATGTCAAGATACAGTGCCCAGCCAACAAGGTTGCCTCCACATACTGCAACAGGCACCATTACCTTTCACTAACGCTGCAAGCCGTCTGTGACCACAAGAGGCGCTTTCTCGATGCGTTCACTGGAACCTCCAGCAAAATGCACGATTCTCATGTGTTTATCTTATCGCCTCTTTCAAAAAACATAGCTTCAGTATGTCAGGGCCGTTATCATATATTAGGAGACGCAGCATATCCGCTGCGGGAGTACCTGTTGACACCATACAGGGATTACGGTGCAATGAATAAGCAACCAAAAAGCTTCAATTACGAGTTTTCAGGCACACGAGTGCTCATTGAAAATGCATTCAGCACACTCAAGAAGCGCTTCAGGCAGCTCATGTACCTGGAGTTGCACCCTATCCACTGGCTCAATAAGTTTATCATAAGCTGCTGTTTCCTTCATAACTTGCGCATTGATTACGGTGATGAAGAGCCAGATGATGATAATGATGATGATGGAGCACCCAATGCTATTCAGTGGGAGAACTGCACTGATAACTACAGTGATAAAACTGATGAGGAGCGAGCTTTGCACAAGCTTGGTGAAATTAGGCGTGCAAAGGTCTTGACTAAGCTCCTGCGAAGTGATTGTAGGAAATAACACCATAATTCTCTGTTTTGTCTGAACCAGCCCTTTAGCTCCCCACAGTAGTTGGGAGGCTGTGTGTGTGCACCAATGCGCAGCCCCCTTTATATACACAAGCACATGTTTTGCACTGCACATTTTATTTCAACATGCTAATAGTATTTTAGGCCACTGGAATCATTCATTGTCTAAGCCAAGAAAGCGGCTCAAAAGCTTCATTTTTTCTTCATGCTGTTTTGCTTTTTCTAGCCAAATGTGCTCCTTCTGTTCTTGCCTCTCTTCATGACGCTTCCTTCTTTCATTCTCGCGTTCAGTTCGTTTTTTTTTCTTTTTCTTCCTGAATTCTGCTCATTTCATCAAAGAAGTGATTCATTTCCAGCATTCTAGAAGCCGAGAGTTTTGGCTTTTTGGGCTCAGGTTCCTTCGTTGTGCTGGTCAACTCCTGGCTAGTTGAACCTTGGCTTGACAGCTCCTGGCTACTCGATGCTTGGCTTGTCGACGATTGGCTAGTCGACGCTTGGCTGGGCGGTATTTTAATAGAGACTATTCAAGAGCTGTCCCTGAGCTCTTCTGGCTCAAGGCTGTCATCTAGCCAACGTATTTTGGCTATGTCGTCTTCAAAGGGAACGTCGCAAGGAGAATTCACCGATTTGTTGTTATGTGCTACAGCGCTTCTTTTTCGTCGCATGACTGTTTTGTAGCGGCTGCAGCACTGGTCCCCTGTTTTAGGGACCCCGACAGCCTCTGTGATGTTGGCCGCTATTCTGGCAAACATTGCCTTTTTATTTTTAAATTTCTTCATTGGCCATATTTGGGAAAAATACTGCTGGTAGTAGTCGAGCAACAGCTTTGTTTCTCCCGCCGTCCCCTCACAGCCTGTACCTGAAAAGAAAAAGTGCTTGAGACATTTGTACAGACGTTACCAGTTGCACGTCACCCGACACAGGTGTTAGAGAGTTGTGGTATTCTGCTGTGTTGGTATTAATGTAGAGCTTATAGGCATATATAAGCACCAACCTGTTTTAGTTTGTCTTGATATCGATTTTTCTACTTTGATTTTTGTCGTTACAGTGCTTGGTGTTCTTTGTACTAATCTGACTGTATATATCATGTATAATTCAATACTTGAATGCATTTGTGTCCTCTCCTGCTAGGGCCTCTAAATGGGCCAGCAGTATTCTCTAAATAAATAAATAAATGGACTCACTGCGTTGCTCGCTCTTTTGGCTGTGTTCCGGCACTGTGAATGGAAAAACGAAATGCATTGTTATTCATACAGCTGGGATACATGAAGCGACATAACGACTAACGATTTGTGTTCTGTGACACAAATTGCTGTACATTGAAGCACCATGTAAATTTCATGCAACTATGTATGCAATTAAGCTAAGCCATGTGAGGCTTCCTACCACAGCTTCGCAAAACAGTAACTGTATGTTTGCTATGCTATCTCATCACGACACAAAATTTTGAATAACAATTTCACGTAAGTATACATGGTGGCATGCAAGTTCTTCAACAGTAGCTCAACACATTGTGCACATTCTTGATTGAATTACACACTCTCATCATGATGCACAGAGTTTCTGATCAGCTGACTGCTAATCAAAATGAAGCACGATCTTTCAGGCCTGAAACAGGCAGTGACACTCCAGGAAAAGCAACGTAATTTCTGTGGACTGAGAATGATTCCTAATTTGGATGTGCTCAATGTCCTGACCTTGGTAACATTGCCAACCCATTAGATAGCAGAACATGCACTCACGCTGCTACCTCTGCAGCTAAAATTTGCTGGGAGTCTAATTCTCGGGTGCGTAACACTGGCTTATAGTTTCTTCGAGACATATAAAGGCAGACAACTGCTTCTGCGCCGCTTCCACTGAAAGGCGAGCGCACTGGAACTTGCCACATAGTAGTGCAGTACTGAAACGCTCGCGCTGCGTTGTGCATGTACGGTAAAAGCGTTACTTTGGAGGTATCTCGCCGCAAATGCGTACCTGCCAACCTAGGGAATTCTGAAATCGAGAGACTCGCCGTGGGAGCGGAGTAGGGGGCAGAGAAAAATTGTTTTGGACGATCGGTCAAATTGCCCTTATACCAAACACGCTTGTCACCAACACGGTTCGTTTCTATTCGTGTGGCTACATTCTAAAGTGATAGGAAGTCGCTTCTTACTAATGACGCCGTTCCGTGCAAGAACAGCGGCGTCGCGCGCACGTTTACTTTTGGCTGTATATTTACAGCAGTGTTTGTGCAATCAATGCGGCGAAGGTTTTCGTTCTCTACGGACACAGGCAAACGAACAACGGTATGACGCATGCGATGCGTTTCAGTGACACGATCACATCAGCAGTAGAGCAACGTTGCAACATGAACATAGCGCGTGCAGACAATCGCTCCACGCAACACGTGTGTTGCATTCAACTTACAATTACAGCACAGTGTTGAAATTGAGGAGACACTTACCATGTTGCTCCGCATACTGTGTGGTCACCATCGCAGACATCGTGGACAATAGCTGTTGCACGCTTGGCATGATAACCATTCCACACAGGTGAATAGCGCTGAACAAGCAAACGAACGACGCGGCGATGCTGGTAAACCACGTGGGAAACAGAGAGCAGAAGAGACCATGCGCAAGCTATCCTGGGTAACGCGGCAGCTTCCGCCTTGCTCCAGCAGGGTGGGTTATGTTCCGATGGCGGATTTGGAGGATTTGCTCTACGCCAGAGTCGAGTGCTCGCTCGCGAAGTCGGTCGGCTGCACCAACTCCGCCATTGGAATTCAACATTAGAGTGTAGTATCACTGCCCACAGTAACGAACCAGCCATGCAATCGTTCTGAAAAGATACTGAAAAAGTCCTTAAGTGTTCTTTTGAGGATGTTCTGAGGTTGTTATTTGTATGGACAAGGAGACAGGATTAGTGCCATTCTAGTACCATAAAAGGACATTCTGAGAGCGTCATATTGTCCTCACGGAGGCATACTGAGGACGTCCTGAGGTTGTGTTTGGGTTGTCTGGGAAGGAATACTTGGATGCCACATCCTGAGTCATTTGGGAGAAAAATGTTTAGACGCCACGTGTGGCCAAATGTTTTTCCGCAACTATAACCTTCAGTTCCATCTCCGTGCGCACACCGGTGAGAGGCAGTTTGTCTGCTACTTCTGCCCGGCTATATTTGCGACCATGTTGGTGAGAAACGGCCACACAGTGATTAATGATGTATTTGTGGCTATGGGATTGTCCCACCGTGGCATGCGCTAGTGCTTTTTTCTGCGGCATGTAAAGCAAACTTTGGCACCTGCAGCCATGCAAGCAGCTGAGGTGGCAATAAGTCTGTGTGCAGGGCAGGTGGCCTTGTTGTACGAGGACTTATGTTTTGACCACAGAGGAAAACATCAGTCTCTCCTGACAGTATGTGGTTGACCCGTGGCCACTTCTCCCACATAGCCGTCTGTGCTGTGATACTAGAACTTTTCACAGGGTACGTGCTGCACTATGTTGTGCTCTCAGACTTCTGTTTGGGGTGTGAAGACTGAGGACTGGTAGCGCAAGAGATGCCCATCAGCTGAGCTCTCTCAAGCAGTGCTTGTCGATGAGAACGCTGTCTGGGTCCCATAAGAGCGTGGGAACACCTCCAAGTGCACGGCAAAGAACGCACACTGGCGTGCCAATGACATGCGGTCCGTGTCGCACACGAACACTGTGACACGTAGTTGGCATTTTAAGAGAAGCACGTGCACGGACCGAGGGGAATAAAAAGCGTGTTGCACGTGCCCAGGGTGCTCTCTCTCGGTGGCCTTTGTTACGGCCGGTCGTGTCTGATGTAAAGGCACTTCTCGACGCCTAGTGTTCTTCACACCTGTAAATATGTAAATAAATTGTGTGTTTGCGTTGTCAAGAAGCCTCGCAAGGGTTCTTCCTTCCTCGATACCTGGGTGACTGCCTGTAACCCCGCTCCTCGGTCACATCAGGGGTGTGAAGTGGGGCCAACGCCCGACTCAGAGGGCTACGCTGAGTGAAAAAAACAAAAACAAAATGCACCAGTGCCACAAGAATACTGGCGATAAAGCGGGTTAAATGGAAATAGAAAGTGGGCACCTTCTTTTTCGAAGGTCACTAGATCGACATGGACTGAGGTACACAACCATTTTATGTGACGGTGACAGCCGCACATTTGGTGCCATCAAGGACGCAAAAGTTGTGGAGATAGGTTTGAACTAGGCTTACCTACTAAGCGCAACCGTGTAGGGATGCGACGTCCTCCACTGCCGCCGTGTGCGACGACGCTGCGGCCGCATTCGTCGTTTTCTCCGACACGGCGCAGAAACCACGCACGAGACAGGATAACAACAACAGCAGGTTCATTAACCCAAGATGCAGCACAGTGCGACACTCACGGGCTTGCAGGCCATATAGGGAACTCCACAAGACCGAGTAAGTGCGCTTGCCTACGGTGCGACGACTCCCACACAAGGTCAAACGCACTGAAAGAGGATGTCACGCGTGGCCCAAAGGGAAATGGCGCTGCATTGTGGCGTAGGCCCGCGCAATGTGCCAACGTAGCGTGCCCTGACATGCCAGCGCAGGACGGAGCCGATGCTTGACTCGCCCAGACCAAGAGGCGCCCTGGCAGTCAGTCACCTTGGCGAATGCCGGTGCTTATGTGCTCCCGGGCTACGTAATCAGCGCGTGCGTGGCAGCTGGGCAACGAGGCGCCAGGTAGGGGGACGCTCTCGATCCCCACATCCCCCCTTACAAGATAGAAACCGCCCTAAGACGCCATAATAAAAGGATCCACCGACACCCGGTGTCGTCGTTCAGCGGTGTCTCAGCAGGAACCTGCGGCCGCGGGAGGGCGACGGACACTGCAGCAGTGATGGCCAATTTGAATGAAGAGCGCCGAGCGCCACCACGACCGCCTGAACGGAGTCGGTCGACCGGGCGGGTTGAAGGCCCGGGCCAGGCGGCATCACCGGTGTGGACAGGACCGCAGGGGCACCGCCAGACTTCACTCAGTGAACCCGCGAACAGAGGTGGGTAGCCTCGTGCACCAGCAGGACACCACAAGCGTCGCAGTAAGAGGCCTCAGGAACAGGCGGCATCGAGGTACCTCCAGAAGCGTCGAGCAGGTCCGAAAGGGTGCGTCCGCGAAGAAGACGCGGGACTGACTCGGGGTCTAACCCCACCCAGACTTTGCATTGCTTGGACCAGGGACGAGTCGACACGAAGGTGAACGGGGCCTCAGTGCCTTGTTGGAACGTGCACGTAGCGACCGCACGACGAGGCGGTGTCTTGTTGGCCAGGGCCGGGGGAGCATTCGACGGAGGTGGCATGGACATGGCCGGTGCCTGCGGAACGACTGAGCGCGCGGCTGGTCTCCCGGGCTTTCCACTGGAGGAACGGGCCACCGAGGAGGACATCACAAATGCTGGAGTGTCGGTGAAAAGCAAAAACGCAACTGAAGGTGCGGCCTCGGAGGCGCGACAGGCTGGCCCAATAAAGAGAGCCTACTCCATTGGATTGAAAGTTGCGTGAGCCTATAGGGCGCGCGCTTCCCTTTTCCTACCGACTACGCAAAAGATACCCAGTGAGAGAGTGAGCCACAGGACAAAGGGCTTTTTCTCTCGAGCAGCCGGGAGCGCTAGAAACCGGGTGGACATTCCGCGCGCAGCGCGTGTAGTGGTGTTCCCAGGGAGAAAGCTCAACAGGTAGCCGTTACTGTTGCTGCTGGAAGGGCTCTCGCACAGCAGCTATAAATCTCCGCTCCCTTACATGAATGGCATAACATCCCGCTACATGCCTGGGACGAAAATCAGCCTAAGTGCATTTTCGCAGGTTGTACCGGTGGCGTGGTTTAGAACCAGCCTTATCCCAGTTTCTCTGCGGTTCGGTGACCGCCTCCCCCTCCCCGAAGTCGTTACTGCGGGCAACGCAAGGTTTGAGGTGGGAGACGTTAACTGGACCGCCGACTGGTCTCGCTTAGAAGTCAGCCAGCTTGTATACCAGAGGCAACATTTTGGTCTGCCTTCGGTAAGGGCCCAACCACTTGGCCGAAAGGGAGGCCGAGATGCCTTTGGCGGCGTCACTCAAGACGTGATTGCGCCTGAGGACGAGATCGTCGACATCGTAACGGACATCCCGATGCGACCGGTCGTATTGAGCTTTCTGACCAGCTCGCGCTTTTTCCAAGTTGAAACGCGCCAGGTCGAGGGCCGCGCACATCCGTGAGCGTCCGCCGTGTAGCCAGATGGGCTGACCTTCGCGGCGCTTGCCCCGCCGCCGCCCCGTTGGACGCGGTCCATCGGGTTAGGCAGCTCTCTCCCACAGTTGAGGAAGACGGGCGTGTACCCTGCCGAGCGATTGACCGTAAACCGCAAGGAGAAGCAGATCTCGTTAAGATAGGCATCCCAATTGTGTTGCTGCGCAAAGGCTGTCAGCAAGGGCTTGAGGTTCCGGTTGATCTGCTCTGTCGGGTTGGCCTGTGGGTGATACGTGGTTGTTTTGGGGTGCTTAATGCTAAAGGCAGCACACGCACCCACAAACACCTTGGCCGTGAAATAGGACGCATTGTCCGTGATTAACTCCGCCGGAAAGCCAAAGCGGGTGAAGACCTCGGTCAACTTGTCTCAGATTGCGCGTGCAGTTAACTTCCGAAGGGGAAACGGTTCGAACCACTTCGTGAAGTGATCTGTGACAGCCAGGAGAAAAACATGGCTTCGCCGGCTTCTAGGGCAAGGTCCCTTAATGTCACAGACCACGACTTGCGAAGGTTCTTGGCTGTCGATCGGCTGCATGAGTCCGGGAGGCTTGCCCCCACGAGGCTTCACGCATTGGCACATGCGGCATGAGCGGGCGTAGTGAAGCGCGTCGCGCTTCATGCCAGGCCAGGTAGCGGAGCGGCACAACTTTTGAAAAGTCTTAAGGCCACTCGCGTGTCCGGCTAACCGCGAGTCGTAGAAATAACCGAGGGTGGCTTTCCTTAGATTGCGGGGTATCACCACCTTGAAAGACTCCTGGGGAGCTTCTTCAGATGAGACTTAGCGCAGGAGCACGCCGTCGTCATTAAGCTGGTACGAGTCCAACGTACCCGCAGCAATACCAGCCTGCGTACGGCACTTGGCGCCGACAGCAATACCAGCTGTCTGTTCGCGCCCGGCGGCTTGACCGCCACACTCCGCTTGGGAGCTCATTCAGCTCGTCAACGATGTGCTGCCAAAACGAATCGTCCTGCTGTGCCTTGAGCAGCTCCTCTCTGCTAAAGACGATAACGGCAGACGTGACAGGGTCTACCAGGTATGCGTCCTCACCCGAACCTGTCGACTCGAAAGTCACTTCACTATCGGGGTTCGTGCCTTTCGACCCTTTGGAGCCAGAGGGTCCGAAGTCTACTTGATGCGACTGCTCTCGGGAGTGGCGAACACAAGTGCTGGACGCCAAAACGGGGGCACGTGACAAGGCGTCAGCCACGACGTTCGAACTCCCTTTCCGGTAGCGCACAACAATGTTATACCACTGCAAGGCCAACGCCC